GAGTCACTCTCTCCCTGTCTCTCTGGGACTCACTCAACTGAGTCACTCTCCCCCTGTCTCTCTGGGACTCACTCAACTGAGTCACTCTTCCCCTGTCTCTCTGGGACTCACTCAACTGAGCCACTCTACCCCTGTCTCTCTGGGACTCACTCAACTGAGCCACTCTCTCCCTGTCTCTCTGGGACTCACTCAACTGAGTCACTCTCTCCCTGTCTCTCTGGGACTCACTCAACTGAGTCACTCTCCCCCTGTCTCTCTGGGACTCACTCAACTGAGTCACTCTTCCCCTGTCTCTCTGGGACTCACTCAACTGAGCCACTCTACCCCTGTCTCTCTGGGACTCACTCAACTGAGCCACTCTCTCCCTGTCTCTCTGGGACTCACTCAACTGAGCCAATCTCCCCCTGTCTCTCTAGGACTCACTCAACTGAGTCACTCTCTCCCTGTCTCTCTAGGACTCACTCAACTGAGTCACTCTTCCCCTGTCTCTCTGGGACTCACTCAACTGAGTCACTCTTCCCCTGTCTCTCTGGGACTCACTTAACTGAGCCAATCTCCCCTGTGTCTCTAGGACTTACTCAACTGAGTCACTTTCCCCCTGTCTCTCTGGGACTCACTCAACTGAGTCACTCTCCCCCTGTCTCTCTGGGACTTACCCAACTGAGCCAATCTCCCCTGTCTCTCTGGGACTCACTCAACTGAGCCAATCTCCCCCTGTCTCTCTAGGACTTACTCAACTGAGCCAATCTCCCCCTGTCTCTCTAGGACTTACTCAACTGAGCCACTCTCCCCCTGTCTCTCTGGGACTCACTCAACTGAGCCAATCTCCCCTGTCTCTCTGGGACTCACTCAACTGAGTCACTCTCCCCCTGTCTCTCTGGGACTTACTCAACTGAGTCACTCTCCCCCTGTCTCTCTGGGACTCACTCAACTGAGTCACTCTACCCCTGTCTCTCTGGGACTCACTCAACTGAGCCAATCTCCCCCTGTCTCTCTGGGACTCACTCAACTGAGCCACTCTCCTCCTGTCTCTCTAGGACTCACTCAACTGAGTCACTCTCCCCCTGTCTCTCTGGGACTCACTCAACTGAGCCACTCTCCCCCTGTCTCTCTAGGACTCACTCAACTGAGCCAATCTCCCCCTGTCTCTCTAGGACTCACTCAACTGAGTCACTCTCCCCCTGTCTCTCTGGGACTCACTCAAATAAGTCACTCTCTCCCTGTCTCTCTAGGACTCACTCAACTGAGCCAATCTCCCCCTGTCTGTCTAGGACTCACTCAACTGAGTCACTCTCCCCCTGTCTCTCTGGGACTCACTCAACTGAGCCAATCTCCCCCTGTCTCTCTGGGACTCACTCAACTGAGTCACTCTCCCCCTGTCTCTCTGGGACTCACTCAACTGAGCCACTCTCCCCCTGTCTCTCTGGGACTCACTCAACTGAGTCACTCTCCCCCTGTCTCTCTAGGACTCACTCAACTGAGTCACTCTCCCCCTGTCTCTCTGGGACTCACTCAAATAAGTCACTCTCTCCCTGTCTCTCTAGGACTCACTCAACTGAGCCAATCTCCCCCTGTCTGTCTAGGACTCACTCAACTGAGTCACTCTCCCCCTGTCTCTCTGGGACTCACTCAACTGAGCCAATCTCCCCCTGTCTCTCTGGGACTCACTCAACTGAGTCACTCTCCCCTGTCTCTCTGGGACTCACTCAACTGAGCCACTCTCCCCCTGTCTCTCTGGGACTCACTCAACTGAGTCACTCTACCCCTGTCTCTCTGGGACTCACTCAACTGAGCCACTCTCCCCCTGTCTCTCTGGGACTCACCCAGACGAGACTGCGATATCTTCTGAGAGTCCTGGACCACGAACCCAGGTCTCCATTGCCTTTCGCTTCTGCCGCTAAGAATGTTCCTTTGCTACTCCGGCTGCCCGGGTTGTGTAACGAAGGCACGGTGAGATTTCCATCTGCAATGGTCAGCGCTCCAAGCACAGCCGCTGCAGTTGTTGCTAAATACCGGGCAACTCGGCGTTTCTTTTAAATAACGCGCGCGCGTGCGTGTGTGCATGACGTGTATGTGTGTACATAGTGGGATCCCGAGTTCGATTTCCACTCACGGCCAACACCAGTGACGATTATCTGAACCTGGTTCTGGACCTCTCCTCTTGGTCGACTCAGCCTTAAATGAGTACCTGGTGCGATGTGTAAACATCACCACTGGGGAGACAAAGGCGGCCGGGCGTGGTGCTCGCCACCCACCACCTCGTGTGCCGTGCCGGCTTTCATCGCTAGCAGCACTTGCACCTAAAGCCAGTGAAGGCTATAGGAGGAAGATCTGTCTTTGTGTGGATGTGTGTACACAGTGTCTATGGAAAGACAGGGCCCTATTTCAGCCGATGCTGTGCCAGGCTGAGATCCGGAATATGTCCATACCCGACACACTACATCCAGTACACCTCCTTCCTATGTCTATGGCTACTACAACCACGTGCCACCCCCCGATTTACAAGCGCTCCGAAAAAAATATTAAGTGAGACATTGAGCCATGTATGTGGTTGGCGTGCTGCACTATTAAGCCGTCTAGTTGAGTTCAATTCCTGGCCACGCGGGCTTCCTACAGTATGATTGAACAACTTTCATGACGATCCTTTGGTAGACCTTGTGCCTGTTTGCATGGCCTCCTCTTCCCTACGGCTGCACCTATTTATCACTCATGCGCGCTAGCTCCACGTGGGGACACGTGGAGAATGTGTAGCTTCTGTGTGGCCTGTCCACGGCATGTCTGGACAGGAGACTTCTCCACACGCGTGGCATTTGGAAAAAAAAGCAATGAGCAGAGTTTATAACTCTTTGTGTGTGTGTGTTGAGTTTGGATATGTATTCGACAGCGTTAGGGGTAGCATACCACATTCATTTGTCGGGTCCTTGAAAAACGCCCCCTGTAAGTATTACATTTCATAATTTACCTCTCATGGTGGTACACAGACAAACACAAAGATCCACTGTATAGCCTTTACAGGCTGTTGGAGCAAGTTCTGTTCGCGAGCAGCACTTATGAAGGTCGGGACGGTACACGAGGGGGTGGGTCGCCAACACCACGCCCGACCGCCTTTGTCTCCCCAGTGGCGAAGTTTACACACCGCCCTATTGTAACTGCCGAGCCGGGAGCTCGAACCGACAAGCTCTGCACTGCAAAGCCAAGTGTGCCGAATAATTACATGGGCCACAAAATATCTGGACCACCCAGTACACTGCTGCATTGTAGAAAGAAAATAAATAAAGACATTAGTCGATAACACGAGAAAATATATATACACAATAGGCGACGTTTCGGCAGATCTTTCTTATCCAATAAGGACAGTAGGCACTGTGCCTAGGGCCTAAATAAAAAAAACAAAATTTGACCAGGTTTTTTTTGTATGATAAAAAAAATGTAACCAAGATATCTTCTTGAATAAATATATTTATATAGCAAGGATAGCCACAGTGTTTATACAAAGAGGCAGAGGCATGTCAATGCCAATCGTTTTTTTCATGAGGTGAGACAAATTAACACCGGAGATGGAAATTTTTGGATATTTTTTTGTCATCGTAAAATTATCAATAAGCATCTTCAACTGGTGTTTTTCGCACAACCTCAACAGAGAGTAGTGCTGCAAGGGAAGTCAAGGCGGCAATGTTGTGCTACGCGTGAAACAAGCGCGGTGACAGCGGCGGGAGTGGTGACATGGGGCAGCAGCGGCCGCAAATGTCTAGAAAGTAATCACTAAAGGCGTTCGAAACACAAGTACCTAGGGGTCTACAAGAACCTGAATCCGGCCCTGCGTTTCGGGAAATGTCCCTTCTTCTTACGTGAATTTCATTGCACTAGTAACACTGATAAAAGAGTTTATTGATTCTCGTACACACACGAATGCATTGTAAGTAGTCGATAATATTTTTTTTAATCAAATATATTTATTCCACATCCTCCCTCACATCATACATTGCAACATCCTGACATTCTGGACGGCATTACCAGTTGCATCGACGGTGTCAGGGGAGGGGGCATTGCCATTCTGGGCCCAGCTATTTAAGACTGTTCTAAGGTTTAGGAATGGACCCCATGCACGTGCTGTATTCTTCTTCCTTGTCCCTGAGCTCATAGCTCAGATGCTGCAGTGCTGAGATTGGGCCTAATGGATACAGCCATTGAGTATGTGAGGGGGGGTGCGTGATTCTTCCACGTACTCAGTAGTCGATTATATTTTTTCCTTTTCCACATTTCAAATCATATTGATAAGCCACTTCCGTTGGGCTATCGTTTGTGATAGCCAGGTCGCTTCTTACAAAGCTCATCGGGTAAAAAAAAAATAACATAACACGTAGGCTTTCGCGACCAATATCATCCATAATATAGGTTTTTTTTAGGGGGGTTAAATATAAATGTGTCTAAATTTCGATTTAAAGCTTTCGTGACTGCAAGGATTCATCTTCTTTGGTTCTTTCGGTAAAGTCACGTAGAATGAGAATAAAATAATAAATTGATAAAATAAAATAACGCAATAATATTCTCACGACGTTTCGGCCACAACACAAGCGGCCTTCATCAGGTGAAGGGGACGAGACTGTTTGATGAAGGCCGCTTGTGTTGTGGCCGAAACGTCGTGAGAATATTATTGTGTTATTTTATCAATTTATTATTTTATTCTCATTCTTTAAATGTGTCGGTTAATCCGCCACCACCCGACACAGCCAATTAATAAGGTTTGTCACGTAAACAGAACATTCGTTACCAGTACAGCACACCGGTGTGTTGGGGATAAAATCCACGACATTATCAATCTGAGTACGACGTTTCGCCAGTAATTACAACCAGCATCATCAGGAGACAGTCAATCGATACATATTAAATCGTCGTCACCGTCATTATATCAGCGACGTCACCGCGCCACCGGTGACGTCATCCGTCCCTGATAGGCGTGCGAGTGCCGTAAAGACACCCAGCACGGCCCGGCCGCCCCCCCCCCTCCAGCCCCAGCTGCCGTAAAGCAGTCTCGGAGAAGAGTCGTAAAGCGTCGCGGATAACAAACATGGCGGGACCAGTTCCCGAAGTGGACGTGGAGGGAGATGGAGACGACGAGGCGGCCCTCCTGGGCCTCGGCCTCTCGGGGTACACAGCTCCCTTCCCCCCGTGCCACTGTCTCCCTGGTCCTCGTGGTTGTTCGCCCGTTTGGTCAGCGTGACGACACACGCTATACACCTTGGACACATACATTTTCGTTTGATTGTGTTGACGTGCGATTCGCCACCGTGACGCTGAATTGGCGCGCGTGCGTATGGCCATAATCATCGCCGTCGGTCATTGTCAGCCACTGCTGGGTGAAAGCCTCCCCCATGGCGTTGCCAGTCCTCTCCCGTCGCTCCCTCTCCGCGGCGGTTTGTGTCTTCCTGGACGCGTTCCCTCCTTTGGCTGCCATTCCTTCACCAGTCTCGTCCATCGTAATTGCGGGTGTTTTGGGTCGCTGCACGCGTTCACCGACCGGCACCGACCAGCGTGGTGAAGTGCGATCCACCCCCACGACTTATCACGGAATTGTGAGGCCCTTCTTAAGCAGTGGAATTAATACAGCCCGCCTACATTATTATCATGATGATGATGCAAACTCGACTGCGTGTACAACATGCCGTGTTTACAGCACACGGCATTGTTACGACTGTACGTGGCAAAGATGCAATGCGAATCTGACGAACCATTGCAGCTGCATTTCTTCCTGTGCCCACTGTTGCGTTCGAAATATTTCGCATTGTTGGTGTCACCTCGCCGTAAAAAACGAATTCTCGCAATGCGTGTCAGTTGCGCTTTCATTTCAAAGTTATTTACTTCGGTTTTGGAATGGGTGAATAGTTGAACGCGTGCACAAAACTCCAATTTCCCCATCGCCATCACCTAAAACATGAAATGCATAACATAGGTAACGTGTTCAAGTCAACCAATTAAGCCCATAGTTCGTAATGCTAAGCAATTTGTATTTATGGATAGGGGAAACATTTTCTTTGATACCAGCGTGGGATGTTACTCAACACCACCCATTTCATTCATCCACGTTATCGTGTTTTGTATTGTATGTTGTAACTTTCTGACCCACTCCAACTGGATATCTTTGAAAAAAAGAGCTTCATAGTTAATCGGATTTCTTAAGGATAAATAACGATTCAGATTCTGACTTAATATGCCATGGTTACGATAGTGATTACGCATATCTTTAAACTGTCTTAATTGTACACACGTTTGTAATTTTTTGTGGAACTTCTCCATTGCTTCTTTGTGTGTGGCAGGAGTGGAGAGCTGGGTACTCAATCCCACGTCTTCCCCGGATGCCCATGGGGTCTCGGTGGTGATAACTCGGTGAGTTCACCGTGGGGCAGATGTATATGGTCTGCTTCAGGGGCATTTACGAAACTATTAAACGTTTAAACCATTTTTATTTTACCAGGTAAAAAAAAACAACAGCTGAGCTGTATAGCTATTTTTCAGAAGTGACCTGGCTATCACAAATGATCGCTCAACGAAGTGGCTTACGTGGAAATTTATAGCAGCCAAAATACTGTAAACGCGCGTTGATTCGAAATTTAGAGGGAGAAACCGGAGGACCCGGAGGAAAATCCACGCGATCACGGGGAGAACGTGCAAACTCCAAATATACAGGCATCAGGGTCGGAATCAAACCTAGGACCTCCTTTATACCTGGCGAGGTAATTAACATCTTGCTACCGTGGCGCCTTTAACCAGTAATTAATTAAAGAAGAATTACACAGGGGAAATGTTAAGTTTCAAACGACACACAAATGAACTTCTTTCGCATTGTACTTTGCCAACTGTGCTAGTTGGAGGTGTTAAAAGGCACACCGCTTTTTTGTGCGTATGCAAAAAAACTGTTTTCTAAAGAAGCACATTATGGTCCACTTGGCTTTGGCAACTATTAAAATATGAGCAAATGTGACCAATAGACAGCAGCAGTGATGCGGCGAGAGACAACTATGGATTGGTTTACCCATCATTCGGACCCATCAGCATAAATCATACACGTGGAGTACCCCACCTCGACTCTATGGGGCCCATTAGCATGGATAATGTGAACAATAATCTGGAAATGACAAGAAAAACCCATAACCGAATAAAAAGGCAGGCTGGAACAAAAAACACAAGTTTTCAAACAACATGCAGGAATGTGTCAGGATCACACAGCCTTTGTGCATGATGCAAAAAACATCACTATTTCCAGAAGAGGAACTGGTTACTCGTCCCTCCATTGTATACTTGAGGGATGATCACAGGGGTAAATCGTTTGGCCCAGGCGTTACGGAACCTGGCATAGGGATGTTTGGTGGGGACTTTTTGTTTAATCAGGAGGGCCTGCGCTTCTTTTCTGTAGTTCCACATCTTCTAAATACAAGATGCGTGTTTTTGGGATCGTGCGTTAAATCTGTTTGAGATGCATTAGAACCTCATTTACCACCTTGCCACGTTGTTCAATAAATTTTCACGTGAAAACCAACATGGACATTTTTTAAACGACATTGTGGAAAATTTGCTACTTGGCACTAATCGAGTGGCATGAGGACAAATCGTATTGCAATATTGCATAATGTCAACCGAAAACACCATTTCACGTCACTTCCACTTCCCCCCCTCCCCCCACCACCAAACTGTCATCAGAAAAAAGATTGGTCAAGAACCTTAGAATGTGCTGTGAAGTGTGTCACACGCTGGCTGCCATCTTAAGATAGTGTTTCACGCCAGTACATCTGACACTTTGTGTCTGCAACATCGTCTCAGTCCGTCTTCTCTGTGTTTGCGGCATGAGTTTTGTTTTTTTATCGCCATTGCAACGACCGTATCCGTGCAGTGTGGAACAGCGTGTGGTCTAGAACACAATATGGTCCCACTGGGTCGCTACAGTAAGCCAAAGTGTTTTTTGTTTTTTAAAGTGAAAAATCTTCGAGCCACAAAATGAACAAATTGCAACATTGCAAAACTTATGGGGGGTGATGCAAACCATACTGCTCTTGAAATATAAAGCAACCCCGTGTGCTATTCAGAGGTTTCGAGGCACAGTTAGTGTTTCCAATTCTATTTACATATATGATGTATATTATATTCTTGGTTCTTTCGGTAAAGTCACGTAGAAGGGAAATAATACAAATAAAACAAGAAAATTATCATGACGTTTCGATTGCTTGTGTTGCAATCGAAACATCGTGAGGATTGTATCGTTTTATTTGTATTATTTCCCTTCTACGTGGTGACTTAACGAAAGAACCAAGAATATGAATCCCTGCAATCACGAAAGCTTTAAATCGAAATATGATGTGTAATGTTCATGGTGTATAATGTCTAGAGATGTAGATGAATACACTGCATATTTTATGTAAACAAAAGTAGGTGGGCTTTGGCAGGATGTGTTGCCACAATGGATGATGGCCGGTGGTCAGTAGTAATAAAGGAGTGGTAGCAGAGGGGCGAACTTGGTGGAGTGAATGTCAGCTGTTGAGACAGTGCAATGCAATTAGCTCGTGTGCAGGTTCTGGGTGGATTGTTAGATTGCGAGACCTTGAGAGATGGTGACGGTTTGTCGAGCCCTTCATCCAGCAGTGGATTGACCATGGCTGATGATGCTATGTCTTCATATATTATAGAGCAATTTAGAATTTGCCTGCATAAATACACCTATTCAAGCATCAAGTCGGTTGGTCGTCACAATACGTGAATTCACTGATTAATTTCCCTTTATTTCAACAAACTCTGAGAGCCCAATGAGATTATGAAACTCTCTTTTCAAGGGAGATTTGCGGAACAGGGCAAATACAAGAGTAAAAGGCAGTTGCATAACAATGAAAAGTGAATGAAAAATACCATTAACCAATGATCCATTCATATAGGAAAACTATTAACACAAAGCTAAATGCAGTGTAACTTAACACGTAGATCTTCACAGGCAATAATATAATTACGGTTCATATTTGAATCAGGTCACCAAATCATCTGTCCACATTTGTGTCATTAAGGCAGTCCACCAATCCAGGAAGTCAACCTGTCATCCTGTATTTTTTATTCTGACTTTATAGATCTTCTGGAGATTCTTGACGTAGTCTTAATCAAAACCGTCCCGTCATGTGATCTAATTGCTAGTCTTGGTTGTGAGAATTGTTCTTCAACTCACACAGGAGCTGAAATAATAATTGCCACTTTAAATGCTTGTGCATGACGCAGCATTTAAATCTGTTTGGTTATGACGTGTGGGGTAAGCGTTGTAACGACACATTTTAAGAAATTTACCCATTGTTTCAACTGGATTTCAGAAACATTCCCGTTCTTGCAACTACCAAACCAGGAGTTTGCGGCATCTCTTAGATAGGGAATAGGGATTTGCAATTTTTGAGTGCCTTGTGTGATAATTACATGTTATATCTTAACAGATGGTAAATAATCCAAATTATTTTGTATTGTACCCCAGCCTTTCCAGTACCAAAACACCTGTGGCACGGGCCAGCCTGGCCTAAGCGACAAATCGACAAAACGGTTATCAGCGCAGGTCTTGCGCGAGCACGCCACGCGCGTGCACCGTTAGCGCGATGGACGCCGTGTTCCAACCTGCGGTTAAATGGTTTGCTTTTTTTTTTAAAGTATATTGCCATCGGTCGCATTGACAATGTTACAGAGAGAGGACATGCGTTGAGATCAGGTTTTTAAAAAAGTTGTTTGAACTGCGTTCTGTCAAGTTGCGTCATGCAAATATCACTAATGGGAAACTGATATGCACAGTAATGGAGCGGTGCTGCGGGTGAAAATAAACAATACGTTTGTAATAATTATAACTCACAGACGAGTATTGTGCGCCAGTAGGGGGGTCGGGGGTTGGTTGCTATGTGGTTTTTCCCAATAATTTCGCGAGAAATCTTCAAATATGAAAAATGTGGACATCATGCCTGCACGCAATGGCTAACGCTTTTTAAAAATATCGTTACGGAATCTGTAATGTCCACTGTGAAGAAGACGGCACATATTTTATTAGGTAAATGCACCGCAGTATTAACCTGGTGGTCGCTGGTAGTGTAGCGGTAAACATGCTGTGCTAAGAACCCGGAGAACCGAGTTTGATTCCCGCTCACGGCCAACGCCAGAGACAGTTATCTGAACCGGTCCTCGGTCGATGCAGCCTCAAATGAGCACCTGGTTCTGTGGGCTAACATCAGCACTGGGGAGACAAAGGCGACCGGGGCGTGGTGCTCGCCACCCATCACCTCATGTTCTTTTCCAGCTTTAATAGGTTCCCGCTAACAGCACTGGCCCCAACAGTCTGTTAAGGCTGGGGGATCTTTTTCTTTTTGTGCAGTTGTGTGTAGGTGCGTGTCGGAATGTTATCGGTGCTTTGTGCTGCTCCGTTAGCGCATGGTTCTACATTAACACACCAATTTTTACGTGCACATCTTTTTCCACGGCTCCAACCGTTGTAATAATCCACGCAGCATTCATCAGTTGCCGCTGAGTGGATTTTCAAGAAGCATAAAATAAAGTGCAACTGCTCGGTTATGCCCACACACAGGAAACGGCCAGCTTGGCCCCGTTACACTCTGCTGAGCAGTCGGCTGCGTTAATTACGCATTTGCATTTCGGTCCAGTGCACCATGCAGGCTCGTGGTCATTAAGCATGATTGTGCTGTAATAGGCTTATTTAGCTTGCAAATGCTGTCAGCTTTAGCAATCCATACCGTGAACACACCTGGCCGGTGGAGAGAATGCAGCACGCAAACGCCTTTTGAGCTAAATAAAAATGTGCATTTGTTTAAATATATTATTATCGCACGTGAATTGTCCTGAGTGTATGTGTGTGTGTGCGCGCGCATGTGTGAACAATCGTGAGGAATGGTAGTGTAGCAGTTAGCGTGCTGCGCTACAAGCCCAGCGACCCGAGTTCAATTTCGGCTCACGGCCAACACCAGTAACGATAATCTAATCCGGTCCTGTGCCTCCCCTAGGTCGACTTAGCTTCAAATGAGTACCTAGTGCAGTGTGTAAACTTCGCCACTAGGGATACAAAGGCGGCCGTGAGTGGTGCCGACCACCCACCCCCTTGTGTGCCGTGCTGGCCTTCATAGGTGCTCGCTAATAGCACTTGCCCCAACAGTCTGTTAAAGGGTATAATGGGGGATATTTTGGCTCTGTGTGAACAATAGGGCATGCACGTGCACGTATTTGTTTTGTATTTTTTTATTTAAACAAAAATATGCACCAAGCGTGTAAACAGTGCGACATGCTGTTCTCCGCTGTTGAACTAGCAGTTGCGTGCTTTTCCCCGATTCAGGGTTTGGCCCGTTCGCATACACGGCGTGTGCGTTTAAATATCCTTGCGTTTTTTTTATCGCACACGCGCACATGTTCTGCTCTTGCACGGTCAGGCTTGGACGTTGGATTACTCTATTGACGAGGAGAGCCGCGCTGTCATCAGGAAGATGTTGCAGGAAGAGGAGTATCCTTACAAAAGATCACATCGCTTGCGTGCACATCGATGCACCCTCTAACCTAATTGGCATCGTTGCGATCCACTGCCTTCCCGTCAGCAATTCACTGACTTGTCACAAATTGGAGTTGTGCGATGATAATTCAAGAATCAATTTTTTTAATGAAAAAAATCTTAATTTGTATTGCTTGTTTGTATCATCTGTCTTGTTCGTGCCATTTTGTCTGTACTGTTATTAGCACGGTTAGCTACCGTACGGTGCGAAAAAAGTTCAACATAGATACCTTTGTACAATCAGTTTCTTCTGTATTGTCTGCCCTTTTAGTACCGTCTCGTTTGTACTGTCTGTCTCATTTCTGCTGTGTATTTTGTTCTCTAATTTGTATTACTTGCAATGGATTGTCACGACCGTATCTCCCTTTTACTGTCTTATTCTCTGCAATATCCATTCACCTAAAGAGCTCTTTTAATTAATCGATATAACGATCGGGAATTAAACGTACGATCCGATGCACGTATCATGCGTGTGAGAAATTATTGTAATGATTCGCGAAGCCCCTCTTTGCACCTACCCCGCAAAGTGCAGTCGAGAAAAAATATTCGTGGCAAACGTCGCTTTGCTCGTTTGTGCCATGCGGTACTTTGCCCCTTAGCGCCACGTGTCCAGCTACTACCTGACTGGCAGGGGGCACTTGGATGAGCCGATGGAGCCCCTGGGGCCCCTAGTGTCACAAGACGTCTCATTGAGGTGAGTTGCTACCCCTGCTCGTCGTCCAACTTCTCGTCGCGGAAAGTCGCCAAGCGAACCTCAAAAAATCGCTTGATGTTGATAAGTTAATGACTCAATGTTCTTTTGATTACATGGAAATTCCACTTGTAGCCAGTTACCCAACTCGTCTACACGGCACAAAATAAGAACAACATCAACATCAGAGTGATCCGTACGGAGGAATATGCAGCAACGGTAACGGAACGCGTCAAGAGGTGCTGACAAAAATATTGATTTGTAGAACAGAAAATAACAATATAAACAGGCATGTTGCACCCAAATAGTTAGATGCTCAACAGCCGTCAAGGTGAAAGGCTTCGGGACCGGTTCAGATATCACTCGCCACTGATATTAGCCGTGGCTGGCAATCAATCTCAGACAATTGACTTCGCAGCGCAGGGCACTGTGCCTTTTGTAACCTCTTTTTTTGTAACTTCTGGATGCTTTTTAAGTATCCAAAATGTAAAGATTAAGGTGCAGCTGTGCAATTTCATAATCACGCCACTGCTGGTGTAAAGGGCCTCCACTAGAGTGGGCTCTAGATAGCTGCCCCCTTGTTGAGGGTATTTGGCCTACTCTTCCACGCTGGCCAGACACAACCAACTGTGGGGGTATCCATTATTACTGCCGGGCAGAGAGAGGCAGTCGCAGTTTGAGAAAATGTACCCCACTGTTTCAACTGCCACGCCAGGAGATGGAATCGAACCGGCGACCTCTGGGTTACAAGTCCAAATGTGCTAACCGTTACACCATTTGTGGTAGCGTATCATACTGTGTGTGTGTAATCACTGGGTAGAGGTTTCATCCCTCCAGGGTAAAAGGCCTAAAAACACAGGAATGTAAATGCTCCGGCACTCTGCCACCTGTCCCTTGCCTCATGTGACAAGTGAAGTGCCGGGCCCACGGGTGATATACCCCTCCCCCCCCCCGCACATGACAGGTCGCACTGACGGCTTTCGCGGCGTGCGCTCTCGAACAATTAGTCGTGCGCGTATTCACCACAGTGAACCACGGGTTGGTTTTCCTTTGTTCTTTAAGCCGAAAAGTTCGGCGAGCTTCAAGGTGGGCAAAATTGCAACTTTGCAAAACGTACATCGCTGTGGCACAACTCGAGGCTCTTGTTTTGATCACAAAGGGACCCCCCTCCCCCCCTCCATGTGTTATTCAGAGGTTTGAGATGGATAGGGTTGACGTTTTCTTAGATATATTCACGTTTGAAAATACCCAGGATGAAGCCCTTAACACACCGTGTTTGTTTGTTTGATTATACTTCACCACGTTGGTCAGTGCGGGTTTTGGGGGGCACCATGACTGGTTTAGGTATCACTCCTGATGGGATTAGAGCTCGGGTCGTTGCGTTCATAGTGCAGTGCGCTCACCACTGTCACCGCTCAACCGCCAAATATGGTCTGCTGATGTAAATGAACGCTATACATGTTTATTTGTATATTATAAACCAATAATAGAAGTTGCTTGTACAATAATCTGTTAAAGCATTTAGTCACTTGGACATGACATGTGCAAAATCTATATTTTCTTTATCTAAGCATTGAGACTACAAGTCTCTCAGTTGAGACCTAGGTAACTCACATGAGATTAAACAGTGAAGCAGTCATCACTCCCTCCTGGCAGACTAATGCCTGCGTGGAGGCAAGGGTCATTTTGTGCCACACAGGGTGAGCTGCCACACCGAGGAAGGGGGGTGGCCCTTTCAAACGTGTTGCGATGAGATGCAAGTCACCTCTCGTGTGTAAATCGCTCTGAGGCACCGCGGCGTGAAAAGGTGCCTTCTCAAAAACGAATCGCTGTCATTACGATTACAGGGCAGATACGAGGAGCACACAGCAATGTTGTAACGTTGAAAATCGCAATGAGTGCAAGGTGTAGTTCGCCGATGTTTTCCGGTGGTGCCGCGTGTTGCCCAGCGTGATGTTCGACTTCTCGCTGCACGTGCCGGGAGCATCAGGAACGGAACCAAATTCGACATGCGTCACGCTGAAAAAGAAAAAACATCCAAAACACGTCGGAGAACTATGTGCAGGACCGCAAAAACTAAACGTCGTAAAAAATTGAAGGTGTCCATAAACCAAACTTATTAATGTTCGTGCGCGAACTGGCGACTTGCGGGCATTTTCTCAAACCCCCACGGCAGTGCACGTTGACAGCGTTCAAACAGAGCTCGTTTTTAATTTCGTGTTCTATCTCCTCCTCTTGGCAGCCCCGTGAAAAGAAAATCTGCCAAAGGCAAGGGGTGAGTAGATCGAAGTCACCGTCACTCGTGTACAAAGTAAAGTATGTATGTGTGTTTGTTGAACTTCTTTCGCATGGTACATAGCCAAGCGTGCTAATTGGAGGTGCACGCATTCACCAAACACATTTAATTGCTGACAGTAACAAGCAGTGCAGTCGTACAACATGTGTCACGTTGGGACGGTCATGTGAATACTGTAAAATGTATAGGTAGAGGAGCAGCCCTGCATCTTCTTGCTGACGCCACTGCTTGCGGAATGGCTAACGGTAGCCGGGAGCGCTAGATAGCACCTCCCTCTAGAGTCGAGAGGGTGTCTTAGCCTACTCTTTCACGCCGTCCAGATATCTGTAACAGGTCAGAGTACCCACACTTTACAATCACCACGCGACCTTGCCGATCGACTAGCTGTTGTGGTGCACTCAGTTGTCCTGCTGGGTTGACAGAGGTGGGTGTGGGGTGCACCGGAAGATGAGATCGAACTGGGCGACCCCTAGATTGCAAGTTCAGCGTGCTAACAATTACACTGCGGCAGCGTCTCTTGAGGAATGTAGCGAAGGCATATTGAATAAGAGCAGCTGTGTTTGGCGAAAAGTGCAGTGATCTTTTTGTGGCAGCTACACGCTTAACGCAACGATGACGGATTCTGTTGGGGAAATCCTATATTTGACACAGATTAGGAAACTTGCTTTAAGACAACTCCGTGTTTAAAGGAAGACACAACTCAAAACACACAGCGCTTACCTTGTAGCTCAACGCCTAGCGGCTGTGTCCCAGGCGTTGCGACACAAATGTAATGTAAAGCTTCGTAATTAAATATAAAAAAAATGTAAGTAACAGCTCAGGCGAATACACGTCAATATACGCAGGAGTGATGCGACAGTTACTTAACTACCGCACACCTAACTGATACTTCAACAGAGGAATTTTTCATTATACAGGCTTTTTGGATTAGATCGCGTAAATATATGAATGTGTCCTTAAACCCGCCACCACCTGACACAGCCAATTAGTAAGGTTTGTCACGTAAACATAACATGCCAATTCGTTTAACGTCACATATATTTACACGATCTAACCCAAAAAAAAAATCTGTATTACGGATGATATTGGTCGCGAAAGCCCACGTGTTAAGATTAATTTATGTTCACATTAATAAAGGGTCACACTCATGTCAGATAGCGATGGGCTGTGTGTTCTGGGCTACATTGATTTACTACTAGCTAAGTTACCCGGCTTCGCATGGGTCTCGGTAATACAGGCTGGGGAGGGTAATTAATTGAAGGCAGCTGAACCTTGCCACTGGAGCAGCATAGCCCTGTAGGTTGTCCTTTCCAGGTCATTGCATGGCAGTAGCTGCAAGAAGTAGACATGGAAGCAATACAAACTAATGGATCGGAAGCGAAGTGAGGGTAGTATGAAAAGGCAGACTTTTTCCTGAGTACTGTCTAGTATTATAGAACATTTCATAATGTGTTTGCGTGTGTGGCAAACCGGGAGTAGTGATAATGGCCTGGGCTTTTGCACGCGGTGAGAGAGAGGCATGGGGGAGGGCCGGGGGGGGGGTGTACAGCGGCGGGCAGGTTGGACTGTAGGCGTTACACGTGTTGCAGGTGAACAGGGAAGTTAAAAATAGTGCTAAAACACACTCACACAGCCATGAGTATGCATGGGAATTTTGGGGTGTGTCGGCTTCTTGGTGTTGGCGCAATTTGTTTCACACACACACACACCCGCAAAGGCTACTTTATTTGTATAGATATAATAGCATTTTTGTTCTCGAAACACAACTGTACACATAGTTTGACTGTGACCAAATAACTCGGAATGCGCCTTATCTCACCAGATCTCAGAAGCTAGATAATGATGACCTGCGCGAATACCACGCATAATAGGTGCTATAGGTTGTGGAGCTATGTGGTGAGTAGCCGACGGCAGTTGTTGTACTATACTTTTATGCTACCAGGTCTATACTCCCAACCTCCACCAATGTGAAGTGTGACTCCCCCGACCATCACGGCGGGGGGCAGCCCACATCCACCAGTGGATTGACAAGCAAACTCTGCATGTACACATCACGTATCAGGGTAGTTGTTGACAAAAGTACACTATTTCGGTGTTTGGCAAAAACATGTATTATTTTGAACTTCTTTCGCACCGTACGTAGCCAACCGTGCTAATCGGGGGTGTGGGGGAAGGACAACAAACTAAAAAAAAAAGTAGTGTTCAATCTAAATTTAAAAGTGTATAGCTCCAGAAGGAAAAGGGTTTCAGATGGCTGCAGAAAAGCAATCTGAAAGCGCGCGAAGCGGTGACCGTCCTTGTTCGATGGCTCGCCAAAAGCCACTGCGAGGATGACCGGAGTTCGCATGATTGTTTATGTTCCTTGAAGAGATCGGCAAGGTAAAATGTCAATGTCTTCGTTACCAAGTGGCAGTGCAGCACCTTTACATTAAGATGTGAAGCTCGGGCAGTCTCAAGTGCTCAACACAAATAGCACGTGTAAGACCGACCGTCTGGATGACAGAGAAGCTTTGATACACACATCAAAGGAATCCAACCCAATGTGGATTTCGAGGGACCGAGTGATGGCACGGCTAAGCTGCGTGTGTGTGTCCTGTCGTAGGAAAGCGGCCGGTAAAACATGTGGTACCTCCTTCTCCACCGGTGGTGGCGGCAGTGGTGGTGGTGGCAGACACGGTCTCTGGAGCTCCTCGGAAAAGGCCGCATTTGAGGAAGGGCTGGTAAATGATGCGTGCAGTTGCCACGATTCCGTGATGGTTGTAATGAGCCTCGCTGACGCTTGTTATTGTGGCGACGGTCGTTAACTACGATACTGTTCCTGTAACACTGAACCCACGGCCAAATCACCCAGAATAAGTTCCGATCTTTTCAGGCCTCGAGGAGATCACCATGCATAACAGGTGCTATAGGCTTCCCTGCAGTGCTGCATTCTGAGCTGTAGAGAGCCGTGCAGAAAAATCTGTTTCACTATACTACTATGCTTCTGCATACATGCTCCCCACCTTCAATGATCTGCACTGACCAGCGTGGTGAAGTATGGTTGAATAACCCCCACACGACCCAAACAGCGTCGGGATTTCCTCATCCATTGGTGGAAAAAGGGCCGTTACATGTACATTGGAAGACAGAATGGCATTGAAGTGGAAAGGCCTTTTTTCTGCAGTGCATAGGTTATAGCCGCCTATGACGATGATCAACCCTAGAGTGATGGAGTTACTCCAGATGTAATGAATACCTGTTTATAGGGGTGTCAATATAATCACAATTCTCTCTGAATAATCCTTTAACGCTGAGTTGATTGAGTGCTGGACTGGGTATCTTGGTGGTATGGTTGTTGCTTTATACAATCACATCCTGTTCTCATTTTTTTTTTAATTCAGAGAGCTTCTAAGGCTATCAATAAAGATCTCCGTCCAGCAGTGGCTGGATGAAAGTTGACGACGCTCATGGCGACGGTTTCTCTTTTTATCCAGGCACAGTATGGGAAGAGATGGACGAAGCTATCCGAGCTGATTCCGTCGCGCACGCTGCTGCAAGTCAGGAGCTACGCGCGGCACTACCTGAAGCACAAGGTGGGTCGCACGGGAGGCCATAGGCGCAGTTTATCTTCGTGCGTTGCAAGAGGGAGCCCCGAGTCGGACAGCGTAATGCAGCCGTGGCGTTTTAGTTAGACAATGGGAAATTATAACCTGACAACACTGGACAGGTTAGTTCCAGCAATTATCCATAAATTATCTGGATAATTGCGAAGTTTGTATGCCATGGTTTTTTATTTAATTTTTTTTTTCGTTTTGAAAGTTACACATCTCATTGCCTGGTTCTCTGAGATAAAGAAGAATATTTTTTTAAGCTGTCTGAAAATGTTAAACATTTTTTTAGCTGACAAAATCTTTTTCTTGTTATTAGAGTTTTCAGGGTGGTCCTGGTTTGGGATATTTTTCCGGTTCCTTTTTATTTTCAAGGAGTGTTTTGATTGTGGGGACAAGAGCGGAGTACCTTGAGATACCCCCCCCCCCCCCACCTGCATGAGAAGGAATATCACTCAAAAGATTCGCACAGGCATGATAATAAACCCGCTTGCCGTACTGCCATCTCTTGGTTCGTTGCCTCGCAGCGCAGCAGGTTTGGGAGTGTCACATATCTGCACGTGATCCACCCAACCCTTGCCTCCAAATCCGCTGCATCACAAGCATGTGCCACCCGGCCGCTCCTGATGTCTATGGTCCCATTTCTGTTGTATCTGACAGGGTTACTGCAGCATCTACAGTCGATGATAGATATGAAAACAGATGACGATATATGTATATTCTCGGGTTTCTCGAATGCCAATTCTTATGATGCACTCCATTCTGCCTTTTCACGTCTTCCAAACTTTCTTCGAATGCAAATTAAGTCATCACAGTAAAACCTTGGATTGCGAGCATTATTCGTTCCGGAAACGTGTTTGTAATCCAAAGCACCCGTATATCAAAGCACTCGTATATCAGTTGTGATCACGTGATGCTCGGCAGACAAAGCATATACGTACTACTCGTATTGCAAGACCTCGCTCGTTTATCAAATTAATATGTATTTAAAATTTTTGCTCGTCTTGCAAAACACTCGCAGACCAAGTTACTCGCAATCCAAGGTTTTACTGTGTAAGCTACACGCGTACGATGATTACTAAACCGCGTCACGGGGAACACTCACGCGCGCGCCGTAGACGTCTTTGAAATCCAGCGCTCCATTCTTAGTGTGGCACATGGAGTAGTCCGGAGCAACAAAGTTTGTTTCGGTTACGCTTTTAATCAGCAGAATAGGTTAACCGGCAGCGGCGACGGCTCGGAGTTCACGGCGGGTTCCTCCGGCTCGGGCTCGGAGACTGCCGTCGCTTCGGGCGACTCGACCCAGCCTCTGGTGGGCGGGCTGGCGGGGAGCGAGACGGTGCGCGTGCGGACGCTGTCCGACGGCTCCGACTCCGAGGTGGAGGTGGACGTCCTGGAGAATGAACGGGGAACCGGCTCGGAAGCTTCCGACACAGAGGACGAGAGGGACGGTGGCGAGCGAGGAGGATGCGACGTGACTGGGCGGAGCGGTAGCCGTGGCGACACCGCTCCGGCTGCGTCGAGCAGCGAGCTGGATGACCACGCGGTGTCTCTCGAGCTGTGTCCGACACCATGTGGCGAATCTGACGTGAAACAGAGAAAGGGGAACGATGCTGACGATGACAGTGGCGATGCTGGCGGGGGCGCGGGCAGCGGCGGCGGTGGTGGTGGTGGTGGAGGTGGTGGTGACAGTGACAACTGTAACATTCCGGAAGAGAGAAACGTCGCGGACAAATTTGATGGCACGGAGCTCGCGGAGCCGTCTCAGCGGAAAGACGTGGACGACGACGCCGGCAGCAGCGGCGGGCGGCAGGACGACCAACACAAGAATAACGAGGAGTACGAGGAAGAGGAAGAGGAGGAGGAGAGCGAGGAGGTGGAGGAGGAGAGGGCGGCGGCACCTTTACAGGAGCTGGTGCTGGAGCCGGATGTGATCACTGACGCAGAGAGGAGAGCGAGCGAGGAGTTTTTCCAGGGGAGGCCTTCAAAGACTCCCGAGCGCTATTTAAAGATCCGCAACTACATTGTGGAGGAATGGTATGCTTGTTTAACGAGACGAATCCAGACAATTTGACAAAAGTCATGATGCATGTGCATGGATCCAACGTGTTTGTCCTTGAAAGTAGTTAGGGGCATGGAAGTTGACAGCTAACTGTATATTTGAATAAAAGTTTTCAGGCTGTTTTTGAACAGGGTAAGTCCCTAATAGCAACGCAACTTAATACTACAATTTCGTTCATATTTACTAATCTCTTCGAGAGGGTGTCCACTCCCGCGTTACAGATGGACATGGCTATTGCGTAAACACTTTCAGCTATTGGTTGGAGAGCGTTAAAGACAATGCTCTTGTAGCGACACACCGAGGCTGTTTGTGAGACCCTGCTCTGCCTGTGGGCAGCGGTAGTGCAGCGGTTAGCGTGCTCCGCTACGGGTTCGATTTTCCGCTCACCGTCAGCCTGGTACGGTGTGTAAATATCACCGCTAGCGAGACATAGGTGTGGTGGTAGCCACCCACCCGCTCGTGTGCCGTGCCGGCCTTCATAGGTGCTCGCTAACAGCACTTGCCCTAACAGGCTGTTCAAGGCTAATACGGGGGATATTTGTATAGGTTTTGTTATATCTGTATGCACATGAGCAAGCCCACATATGTATTTGCTGTCTTAAGGCTATACGGGTGATCTTTGTCTGTTGGCTACCAGGGAGAGAATCCGTCCGCGCTACCTCAACAAGACGGCCGTGCGATCCGGCCTCAAGAACTGCGGTGACGTCAACTGCATCGGCCGCGTGCACACGGCTCTCGAGCTCCTCGGAGCCATCAACTTTGGCTGCGGTGAGCCGTGATGCAGCACCGCCATCTGGGCTGGTGTAGCGGATGGGTGGGTCGGTGGGTGGGGGTGTGCGAGAATGAATGGGTGGATGATGTGAGGTATTAGGTAGGTAGATTGGTGGTGTGGTGATGCCATGGTTGGGTGAGTGGGTGGGTGGCTAGGTAGCAAGTAGGTGGGTAGCTAGTCTGGTGAGGGCATGGGTGGGTTGGTCGGTAGGTGGGTTGGTCGGTGGTTGAGTGGCTGTGTGGGTAGCTGCTGGTTGGTGTGGTGAGGGTGTGGGTGGGTGGGCTGGTAAGTGGGTGTTAGGGTTGCCACGGTTTGGTAATACTATGATACATCATATGATAACAGTATCCACAAAAATCATATCGTCGGTTTTGCTAAATGTTATGTCATGGTTGCCATTGCTTGTTTTTCTTTTATATTTTTTTCTGGACAAAATATAAAAAATATAGCAGACTCAATGAAAATTATACTCTTTGGTTCTTTCGGTAAAGTCACGTAGGTATAAAATAAAATAAATCACGACGTTTCGGGCGCAACACAAGCGCCCGTCATAAATCACCTACGTGATTTATTTTATTTTATACCTACGTGACTTTACCGAAAAAAACAAAGAGTGGATTCCTACAGTCACGAACGCTTCAAATCAAGATCAATGAAAATTGTATATGAATAGCTAGTATCCAATAAATTAATGATTGTTAAACTGTTTCCCCGAGTAACTGAAGGGGTGATGATGAGAGTTAAGTTAATTATTTTCGATGTAACTGACAGCATGTGCATTATAAGTGTTCTAGATTCCGATGACTGGAAAGCCATATGCCAATATTAAGTCGAGGGAACTACAGTTGAATAACTTTCGGGATCTATTTTGTACCCGAAGCACAGAGAAGCACACAAAGAATACAACATAAACGTGATGTGCAATCACGAGACTGTGAGAAACTGATATCGCGATATTTGTCATATCACAATTTTTTTTATCTTGTATCATATCGTGAAAAATTATATCGCCGCCACCTGAGTGAATGAGCGGGTGTGCAGGTCAGCAAGCTTAGAGGGGCCAGTAGGTGTGAGAGAGTGGAGAGGAGAGGGGCGGCAGTGGTGATGGGGAGAGGGACAGGGGGGGCAGGCAGGGGGAGGTGGCGACAGACAGTAGTGGGCGAGAGGTCAGCAACCTCTCACTAGTCCTATCCGTCCCAGGCTAAGAAACTCTGTGTTCCGCACTGCTCCCGATTGAGTACGGGAATTGGCATCACATACCTCCCCCGCCTATTTGTAGCGGATGCATTTTAAAAATAACCGGGTGGCAGGTGGTGAAAGCCTTGAGGGTTGTGGCTGCCGCGACGTCACAAGCCGCTCCGCTTACTGTAGGCGATACTCGCTCCACAACGGTTTTGCTCCACGGTGATCGGCATCAACGCCGTTCCTCCCAACCTCACCCCCAAAAACCACCTCGGCCCCTCCCCTCTGTGTTGTTCCTCCACTGCAGAGCTGGCGGTGTGCAAGCGCCCGCGGGTGGTGGGTGGCACGCGTGGTGGTGTGGGGCGTGGTGGCACGGGCTGGCCTGATGGGGCTGACGATGATGGTTCCGTCGCGCTGGCACACAGGCTACAGTCCATGGTGAGTGGCCGTTTACTTTCTCGCTGAATATTCACAGGGCCACTGGTAGACTGTATGTATGTATGTTGAACTTATTTCGCACCGTACGTAGCCAACCGTGCTAATCGGAGACTTGAAGTGGGCATGTGCCTAATAGTCTTGATCGTATTCAAGTCCCTTGGCCTATTAGGGCCTTTGAGACATGACCGTTTCCTTTACTGATATCTCTTTCCAATTCTCTCACTATGGCTGTGACTAATAGCCGCAGCCAGGGCAAGAGTTATAATGGTTGTGGTGTGTGCTGGGTATGGAAATATTTTATGGGTTCTCAACCCTGGACAGATCTGACTGAAGTTAAGCCTCGATGGTGAGTGGTGGTGGCAGCGGTTGTGATGGTGATTTTAGTCGCAGGGCAGTTTGCCCAGATTGAAAGGCATCTTGACAAAACCGGTGAAGGCTGCTCCACTCATCAGCAAAGCCTATGACGCCAACGGGGCGAGGTTATATGACTGTGTGGATTGGCTTTGTGGGCTGCATCATTTTTACATGGTTCAAACAGCGGTCAGGTAGAGCATTGTTGCTGGTTCCTGCTGTGGGCTACAAGTGTCTCCATTGGTTCGACAATTAAGAAGATTTTGCTTGATCAGTAACGGCTTAACGAGTGGTGGTGGCATACAGTGCAGCGTATTTGATGATCAGTTTTTCTGAGAAGCTATAGCTTTTCCTCCTGCACGGATCAATCAACTCGCCCCATTCGTAAATAACACTCCCATGGACCACACAAAATATAAAACAGGATGAAATTTAATATGATTTAATTTTTTTATGCAGTCATTGATGAATGGGCTAAGTCCATAAACTCTGACTCATTTTCAATATTGAAAACTAATTTCTTTAAAACTGCTTTTTGTATTGAGTTTGTTGTCCTTCCCCCCGCACCTCTGATTTGCACAGTTGGCTACGTACGGTGCAAAAGTTCAACATACGCACATCCATACACTTGATAACTCGGTTTAATCACGGGTGGTGGCTTCCTGCATTCAAACGCCGAATCTCATCATGCGCCGACTCGACGTCCCTGAACTTCTGAGTCACCCCACCACCGGCAACTCTTCCTCCTTTTGACCTCCCACGATTTCTGCAGCGCACGAGAAAGCGACGTGTGAGAGACTCCTCGGGAAACTGGTGCAGCGAGCGCGAGCTTGAGGGGCAGACGTACGAGGTACGGAGACATTTCACTCGTGGTCCCCCCTCCTTCCCACGTACGTGAGTGTTCGTTTACGGTGAAAGCCACAGCAGCCGCCACCGTCGTCCGCCGCGTGCACTCTGCTGTCGCAGCGTGACTCAATCAGAATCTTCATCTAGACTGCAGGAATCCAAAATTACCCAGAAATACGCTCGCACTCGTCAGATCTCAGAAACTGAGCGCGGGTAAGCCCCGGCTAGTGTTTTGGACGCGCGACCGCCATGCATAATCGTCGTTGAAGGCTCCTGCAGGGCTGCGTTGGGGGCATCGGAGGGCAGTGTACCAAAATCCATTGTCGTACTCCCGTATCTGTGTTCCCAGTCTTCACCAAATCCACATTAACCAGCGTGTTACAGTATGGCTAATTAACCCCCCATGCCCGGCACTCTCCCATCATTCGAGTGACCAAGGGCTACACGCGTACGTATTTTTTTATTGTTATATTACATTGTTATTCTAATACCACACTTTTTTACAATCTCCACTACTGATAAAAAAAAAAACCATCCCTCAAACCTGAATAATTTTTCACCACCCAATATTATTGGCGAACGTCCATGGATCGGGGAGGCCTTCGTTTCGCCAGTGGGATAGAGCATGGCCCTTGCCGGTGCCGATGGTGACGAGTGCTGTGTGGCTGCAAAGCACCTGACGGCAGAGGAGCTGGCGGAGAGGAGACGACGCCAGGAGGCCGAAGAGGAGGCGCGGCGAGCAGAGCGCGGGACGCGGCCTCAAAAGCGACCGCGCGGGTGTGACCGCTCTCCCTGCTACCACTATCATAAACAACATCATATCCACAGCCACACGGTCATACACACATCATACACACCGCCACACCATTGTACAGGCCACACCGTCACACCATCGTACACACCGTCATAGCGCCACAGGCACAGAACCACACTGTCATGCACACCATCATACACACAGCCACACTGCCACACCATCATACTGTCACAGTCACACCCACACCGCCACACCATTGTACAGGCCACACCGTCACACCATCGTACACACCGTCGTAGCGCTACAGGCACACCACCACAACCACACTGTCATGCACACCATCATACACACAGCCACACTGCCACACCATCATACTGTCACAGTCACACCCACACCGTAACACCACCACGGCCATACCGTCAAACCGTCATACACACCATCATACAAACCGTCACACCACTACAGCCACACAGTGATCCATAACCAACATTGTCCCACCACCACCCGAACACCAATAATATGTACCACCCTGCCCATTCCACCAACTCACTGCTCCACCGCCAACATTGCCCCATCGCCCTGTTACCTCCATTCATCCCACCACACTTACTGACTCACTGCCCCACTATATTCTTTCCCAATGACCCGTATATTCCACCACCATCGAAACCATTGGTATCCCTGCCTCCATCCCATCAACGCTACCACCACCACCACAACCACAATAATAATATAATAAAACTATATACCCTGAGATAACCTACATTTCAAATTAATTAAACTGATTGAGGGAATAAGGATCTTGATATAGCATATAATAATCGTTGTTGTCGTCATCCCTATGTAGTTCTCTGTGCCCCTTCCGGCTGGTGCCGTGTTCTTCGTTCACAGCAGACAGGCCGGTACGTCCACACAGCACAAGAGGCGTCCTGTTTCCATGCGGTATCGCTCTTTCTGTGTTCGTGTTGTTTCACCCCGCATTGTCGCACCCTCGAGATTCGACTTCACCGCATACCAGCGACCGACAGTAATGAACGACGCTGTCAATGGCATCGTCCTTGCTCATTTACCCTGCCACTCATTCGCCAGTTTCCAGAAATTGTTCGGTCGATAAGCCCCGGCAGCTATTCGAGCCGTGCGAGAGAATGTCGGGGTGGGCATGCGTTGACTCGGAGGCAACAGATCTCGGTGCCCCTGACGCGTTTGCACGTTCGACCTGGCCGCGAAACATCGGTTAATTCCTCTCCCTGTTGCTTCCCCCCCGTCGCAGGCTCCGTTCCGAGTTTTGGTGCGCGCAGACGCCTTGATCGTGATGGACATTGTGAGTGGCGCGCGCGTACGGTAACTTTGCTGGCAAATTGACGCGAGAAGCGTAAACCGTTCATGACTTAAAAACTAATTAAATAGGTAAGCAGGTTTGTTTTGACGGCAAGGCGCTTTGGTCAATCGATGAAATGTTATTTCCTTTGGGTAATGAATTGCCAACCTGGGTCACTGCCAATACCATTAAGGACACATCTTATCGAAGCAACTGGGTAGCTGGAGGGAGAGGTTGGTTGGGTGATTTGTCCAGGATTCCATTTGAGGTTTCAGCCATCTATGATTAAACCGGATTCTCATGAGCAACCAGATAATAGTCTCAGTCCAGTCACCAATAACAGTACAAAAAATACGATAAATATTTGTTTAATTGCTGATGCGACAAACACTCATTGCATGCCATATGTAATAGGTGTGCACCTAGTGTGGCTAAAGAGGCCTATTAAAGTAACTTCAGATTTAAGTCATAATAATAATACAATTTATCACACGCATATTTTCTGACAAAGCCAAAACTATTTCCAGCCAGGCTCGAGGATCCGCATATGCCCGACAAAAACAGATGAACGTCACTTTCATCATCATCACCACCATCATAATTTTCTGGGATTGTGCTCTGACGCAGAGTGGTGCACTGCTCGCCGCGACATTTCCGAGTAGATATTTGTCATCTCTTGACGTTAACACCAGTGGCACAGCTGGCATATAATTCGAAGAAAGGAAACGCAAATAAAAAGGGGGGGGGGGGGGGGGGGGGGGGGAGGAAGCATCTTCTAAAGAAGTGGACAAAAGCTGGGTGCAATGGCGGGCAAAGGCAGGGGGCCGAGTGACCGCGGTGCAAGAGCCGCTCGACCGTCAACAACGATTTAACGGGAAGCGCTGGATTTATTGACCCAAGCTGGAGAAAACATGTTTTCATTAATAACTTGGGACAATAAATAGTTTGGTGGCCGTGGTTAAAGCACTGACGCATCGACTTAGAACAAGAAAATAGAAAGAGAAGGAACAACAACAAAACACAACGAAAATAAGAGAATCCGTGTTTTAATTTTCTTTCGGGGGTAAAGTTGAGCGGGTCGGTGCGGTGTGGGGGGAGATCGGGGCTTTGAAAGGGGACCCTGTTATCAGGGCCACCGGGAGAACTGAAGGTCGCAACCCCCGCGCTCCCGCTGTGCCCATCTCATCGTGACTGGGGGGGAGGGAAAAAAATGGCAAAGCCCGAGATGCGGTGTAACAACAAACACGGAGAGCGGGTTTAGCAGAGACTTCACAAGGGAAGTCAGGTGCAGAAACATGGTTCCTTCGTGTGGGTGCATGGGGGGGGGGGGGGTTGATCCTCCATTGCTTTTGCAACCTCAGTGTGTAAACACTGACATGTGGCTCGCACGATTCGTAACCAAGGGAATTCGTGGGAAAACCAATATGTTCACCATCACAAAGTCGTCCCCTCCTGGTCCCTCCCATAGGAATGTGGAAGTTTTACTGCTGGTTGAGGACCGGCCGTGAAGATGAACATTGCCCAATGCTCTGTTGAGCATGGGGGTGTTTTGAGCGCTCGCTTAACCAACGTCAAACAATTGAATTGAGCTACAAGTGACAGAATTACGTCTGTTACTTATTTGACGTTGTGTATTTTGGCAATTAATATACCTGCAGTCATAATAAAATATTTTTCCAGAAGTCCCTCAGTTTTTCAGAGGGATTCTGTTATTGAGATATTTTTGCCTCTACCTTTTGACTTCCGATCATGGGAGGAAATTGGAGTAGGCAGAGAAAATCTGCACATATGAGATGACATTCGAAGGTCTGTGTAGATCTGTTCCCAAGTCTGCTTGCTGTGCCGCTATAATCCTGACCGCCTCGCCGCCCGGTGGATTTGGAAGTCTCCAAACACCGCGACATCCGCCAGCCCCTGCCACCGATACGCTCGTTCACGGCCGTGCGTGCTCCCGACGCCCCCCTGCTGCGCGTCGCAAACAACAACGGCAGCCCTTCGTCATTGCGTGGCATTGTCCCTGACCCGCTTGTTCCGCAGCACGCGCACGTGTCCAGCGCTGAGGTCATCGGGCTGCTGGGTGGCCACTTCCACCCGGACCAGCAGCAGCTGGAGGTGAGGAGCCGAGACGAGTGTGACAGGATTACCGTATCAACAGAAGGCAGTGCATCGGTAGCCATTGTACTGTACTTGTATGCTCCGATGTCTACGCTCCACCCACCTTCAAGCGGTTCCGTTTCCCAGGCCCCCCCCCCCCACCCCCCATCTTCACCAACTTCACCAAGCCGCACTGACCAGCACGGTGAAGTATGGTCAAATAACTCCCCACGACCTGCACTTTAAGCGGAGGCCCTCATCCGGCAGTGGATTTTATTAGGACTGTTCATGCACACAAGACAGCTCAGTGGCTGACAGCATGAAAACCTTTCCCTTGCGAGGCTACTGAACCAGCAAGTGTGTTGTGCTATCGCAGCAAGCGTGCATGCGTGTTTATTTCATGTGGGTGTGTGTGCGTGTACACATGACCAATGCAGCGTACTTATGTGTGGTGCATGTGTGCGACCACAGTTGGTGTATGTGCTGTATACAAATGATGTTCCCCTGCGTGTGACATCATCGGTGTCTTGCGTTTGTGAGCAATCGCAAGAGTTTGTGTGCGTGTGGCGTAATAATTAGCACGCTGTGTTACGAACCCGACGACCGGAGTTCAATTGCAGCTCATGTCAAACACCAATGGCAATAATCAGACACGGTCCCGGGCCTCGCCTAGGCCGACTCGGCCTTAAATGGTGTGATGTATAAACATCACCACTCGGGAGACAAAAGTTTGTCAAGCATGGTGTTGACCATCCACCCTCTCATGTGGCTGTGCCGGCCTTCATCGGTGCCATTCGCTAACAGCACTTGCCCCCAAAGGTCTTGTCAAAACCTACGCGGGGATCCTTTGTCTTTGTGCGTGCACGACTCCGCGGTGTGAAGGTGTGCGCGGCGGAGCCGTGCGATGGCGTCAGCACGGGGCTGCAGTGCGAGATGGACGCGGTGGCGCAAACGCGGGCGAGCGAGGCGCTGCGTGCGCGGGGACGAGCGGTGCTGGGCTGGTACCACTCCCACCCGGCCTTCCCGCCCAGCCCTTCGCTGCGCGACATCGACACGCAGGCCAAGTACCAGGTACGGCGGCGCGAACCCGGGGTCGCTGAGCGCGAGCAGACGCGCGCCCCCGGTGCTTTTATCATGTGACGTGAACACGGGTTTCGGTGGCTTTGCTTGTTAAGCTCTTCCCATTGCGCTGTCCATTGCTGTGCTTCATCGTACGTTATTGAAAGTGGTGACATATAGTTAATCGTTTTGCTTCTCTGGGCAAAAATAGTACCTGCTATGACACATTGGATCAGAAAAAATTGTGTAACAATTGCCCCAGTTGCAACCGCATCGCAAATTGCCCGCTCCGCCACCCTGCTGGACACGTGTGTAAAGGATGCCGAGAGGCAACCACTATTCGGAAATGGATAAATATACACTCACCCGAGTCCTAACGGCTCCCCTGTCATTGGCGAGGAGCTATCGCAGGGTGGGGAGTTAACGTAGCGGGCACTCAATCGGATTTGAAGGTGGTGAGCCATTAAAATCGGATTGGTCGTCAAGGAAAAACTCAAAGGAAATGTCGGTTGAGACACCGTTATTGGGGGAAATTAATGGGATTGGTGGAGAGTCATGGAAATTTCGGGAAAGGGTGGGAAAGAGTAGGGTGAGGAGTGGGTTCATGGTGCCTGAACGGGTTAATCCCCTGGTATGTGACGCGCTGTACGGAAGACGTAAGAATGACGACGTTCAAGACTCACCGGACTGGAACTCCTTCACAAATAACAATCGACCGGTTGTGTGTTCTCCTTCGCCCATACGTCCACGTATGCCAAACGCACACGCATGCACACACACACACATGCACACACACACGTGTCCCCGTGCCCCCGTGCCTGCGTTTGTCGTACATTCACTCGTGTCGCCGTTGCTGCTGTGGGATCGTACCGTCTCTCTGCAGGGCTACTTTGCGCAGGGTGGAGCTCAGTTTGTGGGGATGATTATCAGCCCGTACGACCCGGGCCACCCCTCTCCGCACTCCCAGCTCATGTGCCTCACTGTGACTCACGACGTCAGCCTCGAAGGCCACCGTAAGACACTATTAAACTAGTAATAATAATCATCATTGGGTATTAATATACAGACCTTTGTCAATCTCTCGATTGCCTCCTAATCCAATCCCGGATCAATTTCAAGATCGCCCTCGCCATCATTAAGATCCTCTGCGGACTTGCCACTCTTTTATCTCACTTTTCTCCCCTGCATGCACTCTACCTTCTCTCATCTCATCTCTACACCCCTCTATGCATTCTATGCACTCTGCTAACTCTCTCCCTCTGCCCTCACTCTAATGCCCTCTGCAGTCCGGCAACTCAGGCTTTTTTTATCAAAACCTAGTCAACTTTCGATCATTGGGAGGTGGTCACTCATTCTCTCTCTGCTTCCCCGTGTTTCTGTTTGTGCTGCTGTCGACTCCGTGATCCTGTTCATGGCCAGGCGACTGTGCTCGTCTATTTACAGCCCCGAGCTAGCGGTGAAACATCCATTCATATGCCAAGTGGTGGTGGCGGCATCTGTGGAGAACAGCCACCCTCGTGTGCAAGACACTCGGCATTTGAAGATTCATAAAGCTGCATTGACAAAGACAACATTAAATTTTCCATGTCTCCTTGCCTTTGTCAACCGCTTCATCTTACGCCTTTTAACGAGCCCTGCGTGGCATTGTCAGTGACGAGTATGCAGGCGGTGTTACTGGATGGCACCACCGGCACATGGGCTGGAGGGCCCCAGGAGCCAGGCTACGAATAGGAGGGAAATTGGACAGTTTGGGGTGGGAGGGGGCAGTTAATTCCTCGCCACTGTCCGTGTACTAAAGGCCCGAAGCGCGTTTTCGCGACTTGGGTTACGTGCCCTGTGCCATATGCCGTGTGCCATCCGTGCACGTGGGGTTTGATACGGCACAGCCATGCTTATAAATAAACCATATTCCCCCGAATCCTCGCGACGGATGGGATGGTTGGACATTTTCATTCATTCGCCGTGTCATACGTGCTACTCTCAATGCATGCCAGTAATTACAGCGGAACATTTTTACTATTTTAAATTGTGGCAGGGTGTGTGGGATGAAGTGGTCTGGTGAAAGCTATTGACACCAAAGCACCAATTTATGTTAGTGGTCACGATTGACATTGCACAACTCCAGGCGCTCGGATACATTTGGATGAAATGAATCGATTCCGTTTGTGTATACGGCTCTGTTTATAGCCATCTGTTCTTCAATTCAAAGCATTGACATTTTACTTGAAATGAGTATTAATAGTGTACGACTTTATTGCAGTATGTGCATGCATTCATGAATATTAGATTAAGCTCGTGATCCGAGCATCAAATCGACGTTCCCTCGCCCCCCCCCCCCCCCCCCCCCCCCCCCCCCCCCCCCCCCCCCGCGGCAGGTTTGCCATTTAGGCTGCAGACGGAGAAGACGGCTTACGTGTACGATCCGCTCGACGTGCTCACCAAGGCTAGGGCCATCGCGGAGAAATACTCGACGCTACACAGGTACTAAACATAATAGAAGACCAAACATACCAGCGTGCCCTAAAGGAGAACATTTGACTTGGTCCATATAGATCAGAAACGTTGACACTGATGGCGAATATAATTGAAAGTTGCAAAATACACAGTTGCCTAGAGAGAGACGCACACTTGAAAGTTTGAAGTCAAAAAATCTAAACATTGAAAATTAACAGTGGGCTTGGGCAGGACATGTCGCCAGAAGGGGGTGGTGGCCGGTGGTGGAGATGAATGACAGAGTGGCAGTCAAAGGAGAGAGCGTGCCCAAGAGGACGTCCGCCGAGTAGATGGAGCGATGAAATCAGCTCGTGTGCAGGTGTGAGATGGATTGTTACGTCGCAAGATGGCGATGGCGTGGGAAGGCCTTCATCAAGCACAGTGGGTTGATTGTGACTATAACGATGAAATTCATCGTTAAGACATTCCGATTATGTCACTGACATCACTACCATCCGGATTCATGCGTCAATGCAGTGATGTCACTGCAGTGCCATTTTGGGGGACCGTGATGATTACTTCAAGGTCTATTTTCAATTACAAAACATCAAACTCATGACAGACAGCAGGAACACACCGTTTAGGTATATATCGACAAGATAAGAGCTCTTTGTTTTTCTTTGCTTATGCCTTAAAATAAACAGTGCTGGAGAACATTGGTTTGGAAAGCCCATTGGCTCATTGACCTACATTTTACTTTTTAGTGATGAAACAGTCCCTTATCTCCTTATCAAGATAACACAATCTCTTACAATTAGCAGTGCTGGTGGTTCATCCTACTACTATGCCACCTCATGGTGATGCTGCATTACTTGCAGACCGCTCCATCACCATATTATGGTTGGTGTACTTTTCTGACATAACCCTACCAAAATGCTGACACAGAACTTCGGAAACCCGCGAGGTTGGGCGCTTCACTTAGCGATCACTTGGTGAACCACACAACTGCGTCAGCATCCGTGAATCTTCACAACACCAAAGTTATTTTTTTGTTCACCCGTGTCCGAATAAAATGTGGCGGCACGGGCATGTGGTTCGAGTTAAGAGTACAAAGCGACCGCTATGGCCGATGCAAACGACCGCATTTATTTGCTATTCCACGCGTCTGTTTATTTACACGGCGGGTGGATGGGTCGTGGGCTGACTAGAAATCATCCGTGCCTCGCAGCAGTATCTCCTGTGGATGGGTTTCTGGGTGAGACGGTGGAGGCATTGCCAGATTAAGTTTGATAGGGAGCCTGGGCTGGTATACTTTTGGGGGTGGGTGCCCTCTTTGTTTCATCATCAGCAGCAGCACCCACGGATCAATCCACTGCAGGATGAAGGTCTCCTCAAGCCACAACCACCTCTCATGAATCTTGGGATGAAAAATGTACATTGGTAATCGTGCACCTGAACTGTTTTCATCGCCCCATCTTCACGGTGGATGTCCATTCGGACGCATTCCCTCGTGCATATTACATTCTTTCCCTTTACCGTTTTACCACCACCAATGTCCAGTGTAAAAAACAACTCCAGTTATATCGTCGTGATTTCAAGTTTTAGTTTTTAGATGTGATAGGCAAAACGTAAAGCTAACCTCTAAGTAAGAACACACTATTAAACATTGGCATAAGTGGTACTAATACACTTGGTAATAGTGACTTTAATGACAAAATCACCCACCATAGAATTTACAATTCAATGCAGTGTGCTGGGCCACAGCCCCCTAAAATGCCGCTGCGTTAACCCGGCCCTGGGTGCGGTGTGGGTGCACGCACCGCGCAAGTGCTGATCGTAAGCGTTTTGCACCGCCCCGTTTCTCTGCCAATTTTTTCGCCAACGTTGGTCATCGTGCCCTTTTTTTCCACCCCCCCGCCCCTCTCCGTTACCGCCAGCGGGGTTCCTATGCTTCACCCGTGCCGGGGCTGCGCGGAGCTCACCTACCTGCAGAAGGTGACGTCCACACCTTGCGGCGCTAGCTACCCGTGCCTTGCCGCACACGGCGCAGCAAATTGGCAGGAATTGTTGCTTAGTAGTCTCAGTGTGAGCGACACGCACCGCTGGGTGATTGAGAGCGTTACACAACGCGTGCGACCCAGTTTGCCGTTGTTCGAGAAAGGTCTTTTCTGCTCGATTGTAGTGTTTGTGTAAAAAAACAAACGCAGCTACTTTCACAGAAAGAGATGCATGGCCAAAGCTACATTTTCCAAAAGGCATTTAAGAAACTAAAGAAGCACTATTCTGAAAAAAGCACTTTACCAGTAAATTGTCAAAATGTTTCTCAACTAGGATGGGAATGGGGGGTGAACAGCCTTTGTGTTTCGATGGCGGTGTTTTTGACGGGATGTGCTAAAAATACTCGTGCGTAGGGTTTTTGCCGTTGTGGTGTTTCGCTCTCCGATGTGTTTTCAGGCTGTATCACATGTTGTTTGGGAATGTCTGACGTTTCAATCCGCATCCCGGGAGCTTCTAAATTCAATTCTTAATTCAGTGGTTGAACTTACGCTCCCAGAACATGGAACTCGCAACACCTGGAGCCAAATGTCGCATGTCATTCCGAACAACACATAGCAACCTGAAAAAACATCAAAGAGTGTGATGAAAAAAAAGAATTCTTAAAAACCGAAGCAGGACATTCGCAAATAGTAAAGTCAGCGATTAAACAGAACCACGGGCTTAATAGTGGGGTACGTGTGTGTGTGTGTGTGCGCGCGACATATGCCGGACTGCACAGATGCTCGTCAGCCTGCGGCACTGGCTAGAGGTGGAGTCTGGAGAGGACGCAGGTGTGGGAGATGGAGCGGAAGACCCTGGAGAAGTCGTCGCCGAGGTGGAAAGGATCTTCACGGCGGTGTACGCGGCGGCGGCTGCCGAGACACTATCGCACACTCCTGCGCTGTAGCGGAGAAGCGACTTGACGATTAAAATCGATCGTTACACTCGCGATATTGCGCATTGAATCATCCGCATGAGGATCGATTATTTACAGTTTATGCTAGCTGTGCGCCATTTAGTCACTGTACAAACATGTGCAGATAAGATAAATGAACAATACAAGTGATTTGGACAAGACCGGAAATAATATTTATCGCAACTCAAAATCGTGACATTTCATTGAATTGCCGAGGGAGGAGCAAATTGTTACAATGTTTTGTTTCATTACAATGTATTTTATACGTTATTTTTATATTTACAACCCCCTTAATTTTTTTTTACTGAGATAACGATGTCCTGTCCGTGTGTGCTAGCAGGCGCAGTCATTAAAACGACAGTGACACTGCAATATGGAGGCGTTTAAAGTTTGTAAATAATTGATTGTGTGCATAAGCATTGTGGCACAGTTCACGTAAGCAAGAACCCGAGTGAGTATGTTGTTGATGTTTACCTAATAAAACAAAGCAACGCAGTACAAACTATGCATGAATTCAATCAATTAAAACCTGGTGTGGAATGTAAATGTCTATACAGCAGCTGCAACAAAATATACAAGAGATTAACTTGGTTTACAAGGATATTACGACATGGGCATATTATTCCATATAATCTATAAAGACATTGTTGAAACTTTATGTCCAAGCCAAGTATAAATCTTCATTCCATTACACGTTACACGTGGTGAAGCTAAAGCAACGTTGGGGCTTTTACTGTGGCCCTACGTCATGTTAACCCAACGGTTCTTAACCCCCCCCCCCCCCCAAGGGTGCAAAAGTTTTTCATGGGGGGGGCGCAGAGCTTGAATCATGGATACCGTGCAGGAGGAATCTTAATGCGTGCGGGGAACGTCGGCGCTGCACTGCGGCAACAATCATACACGACATGAAACGTGTTTGGCTTACACCGTGTTGATTAGAGACGTGATCTCTCTTGTCATGTGACCTTAGCAACCTTGTATTTGTCAACCCAAACGGTTTACCCGTATTCTTGTAAGGGAAATTGAGTTTCTAGGTCCATATGGCGTCCAGCCGTTTTAATCCTGGCAAAATGTGTTTGTCTATTTGTGTTCCTGCCTTGTGATGGGACTTTATAGGATGAACGTTGAGATTTATAAGAGCACGTGGTGACCAATAAGGTCTGAATTGGTCTGTAATAACGTCGGCACTCAGGGGTTGATAGGTATGCAGGTATCATTAGTTTTTATTAGGGGGTCGCCATACCACAATTATTTAAACTTTTTAATGCGTCGCAGTAGTTTTTGTGAATGCCGTTGTGAGTTTTCGCACGAAAATCTGTTGGTAGGATGGTTAGTTGGAGGTAGTGAAGTAACTTTTTTGTTATTTTATTTGAACCTACGTGACTTTACCGAAAGACCCAAGAATAAGCAACTTTTTATTTCAAGGAAAGCATTTGGCACGTGATGTCAAAATGTGTTGTCTTGTTGGAAGCTGCTGTACGCCATAGTTCTTGTCTGCATAGTTTACACACCGGTTCAAATGCAGACATGTCTCCGTGACCAATGTGCTCGTGTCTGAAGAATGCGTGTCTCAATAGCCTGTGGACTGGTACGTGTATTGGCTTTGTACTATCTAGATTTGAAGTTTTCGTGACTGCAGGGATCCATACTCTTTGGTTCTTTCGGTAAAGTTACGTGGGTATAAAATAATTAAATCACGACGTTTCGGGTGCAACACAAGCGTCCGTCATCAGGTGGGACAACCATAGCAAGAAACAATTGAAGTGGGCAAACGGGCTGCTGTGCCTCTTGGCACTCGTGTCACGGCAGCCCTTTTGCCCACTCCAGCAAGTTTCTTGCTGTGCTTGTCCCACCTGATGATGGACGCTTGTGCTGCGCCCAAAACGTGATTTAATTTATTTTATACCTACGTGACTTTACCGAAAGAACCAAAGAGTACGGCTTTGTACCGTTTGCCTTTTGACGTTCTCTGGTCTAACACTGGTTGCGACTACGCCTTAAAGAAGCCTGTCTGGTGTAGGCCAATCAGTTTCAAAGACTGCATATGTTACAGCATGTTTGTTTGTATGTTCACCACAAGTATATGTGGTTAATGCAGATATGATTCCTTGCAAAAGGTTTCTTTATGGCGTTTAAACATTTTAACACCTGTTTTATTGTCAGAAAGGGTAACACCTATTATTTGTTCATACTTTATACTGGCAAAAAAGGTCCCATTTTGCATCTCTCTTATCTACACTACTGGCGTCACTGTAGGCTACGTGTCTCAATTGTGTAAATGCTGATATCGCACAAAGAGAACACGAGCTTTTATCGATGGTCATTAACAATGCATTTTGACAAACCTAGTTCATCAGTCCATTGGTTCTGCACCTATTTACTATGGAGTAGCCCCTCAGCAGTCAAGACCACTGGTCCCTTCCTGCGAGAAACTGATCCACTGGGGTGGAACCATCCAGCACCATTCCTCTGCAAGTTTGACTCCCCAGTTTAGGGCTGGGTGACAGTGTCCAAGACATTTTCTTTGGCAGGGGGGGGGGGTGGTAGGCATCTGTCTAGGCATTGTGGGCAGATTGCATTGTGGTGGTGGTGATGACGATGAGACCGGTGCGTGGCTTCCTGCTAGTCGCTCAGGGGAGGTTCTGCTGCAGGTCGGCCACTTCTGCCCTCCACATGGCCCTGTGGGACGGGTTGCTCGTCAGCCCCGTCACCTTGGTGGCCTTGATGACAATGTCCGGGCCACAGGACACCACGGCGCCGTACACCAGCACGTACTCGCCTGGCAGGCGCATTCACAGCCACGTGCCACGCAAGAGACAACGACGCCATATAGAATCAGACCATTAATTTACACTGGAGGGATCCGATGAGCGACGAAGCTCTTTTTCACAGATGTCCAGTAAAATAATGGTACACATCAAGGTTTCAGAAGACGTGGCCCACGACAGTGATAATTATAATTCAACCATATTCAGCAACGATTTCAAGTAGTAGAAAAACCCTGTTGCATCACTTTTCTATTTGTAATTGAGTAATTGGTGAATTGTCAAACGGCATTCCAGGTCTGTAGTAAGGGTCGTATATAAGTTTACTTTGTTTAACAAGTCTCGTGACATTTTCACGACCTTAAAAAGGTGTGGACTGCGACAACTATCGACTTTTTGAGGTGGATTTGCTCATTTTTCGGCTTTAACCAGCTGGCGCAGTTCCCTTTCAGCCGAGCCAACCTTAACATCAGCATGGGCCACCACTCGCCTGGAGCCAGGCAAGGGCTGCCCCTGGGCACGGAGTCCAACCCACGCGCTGTGAACTCCCCGGTGCCGTCAGAGATCCGGGCCGAGCCGCCGTGGCTCTCCTCCACGGCCACGACGTCTCCCTGCATCCACACGTACGACACCCGCAAGGGCGAGCAGCCGGGTCTGGGTTCGAACCCGGTCACCGTTGCTCCAAGGTCCCGGGTCACGGCGCACGCGTGGGGCTGCTGCTCGTCGGGCCGGGCACCGGGGCAGGCGGAGAGCTGCCCGGCGAGGACCTTAAACGGCACGGCGATGACGGGCGCTGACATGCCCTCGTTTCTCCGTCTCTCTCCACTGCTGGATTGACTACAGCTTGGACGAGGAACCGATGGATGGATGGAGTGTGGATTGGTGCAGTGAATGAACTACTGTGAAAGCGTCTCGAAGTGGCTTAAAAGTTAAGACAATGACGGTAGGCGGATGAAAGCGGCGCAGTGAATGAAGGCAGCTCAAGGAATGGAGCAGCTGCACTGTGGGCCGCACCAATGGAATAATGAATTGTGTGAATTGTGCCTCGTCTAAAAGAACCGAGTTTAAGCTTAGTGCGGGCTCGGGAGAAAGCAGCGAACGCAACTGAACGAATATAAGGCCGCTCAGGGGACAATCTAGCCACTTAATCGCCGTGACTCAATCGTAGAAGAAGGCAAGCGACGATAAGTTAGCGGCGGAAGGGGGGGGAGAGTCGCGGGGAGAGCGGAGCTTAGGAAGCGTTCGTTGAGGCAGAGTGTGGGCCCCCGTCGGCTTCTTGGGCTTCGCGTTTCAACGTTTGTAGAGCCCAAGAGTTTGCAGCTCTCTCGATGCGTCGCTCGTAGCTACGCCTTCCCCGCAAGCTTGCCCGTCGCATCGCCCCGACGCGAGTTTGAAGCTTTAATCAACGAGAGAGCGAGCGAGCGAGAGCCGTTAACGTGGGGGTGGGAGGAGAGGTGGGGGAGGAGCGCGCAAATGACGTCATAGTTTGTTAAGCGAGTCGGGTGACGTCATTTGGCGCGCTAGTTTAAAACATTTTCAAGAAATACTGTTTTAAAATCAAAACTCAGGCGAAATCACATCGTGATAGAGATGGACACTGTATTTTTTTATTGTTTTTCCTTTTGTTGGAAACTCGCTTGTTTGCCCGTCCTAGGACGGAAGCTGAAATTGTATTGTTTTATATTTTTATTATTTTATTGTTTCCGTTCTACATGACTTTACCGAAAGAACCAAGAATATGTACAGTACATTTACGTTTTCTTGTGTGATTCATCCGCTCATGATTATTAATGACGGGGGGGGGGGCTCAGTGACGTCACGTATGGATGTAGCACTGTGCTGCGTATATATTTTTTTTTACCGTCACTTTCTGTAAATAAGCGTCTGCGTATATTTAGTTTATTTGATTAACTTTCAATAAAGAAACGTAAAATTTAAACCGAATTTGTGTAAACAAATTTCTTTCCGCGGGAGCGTAAAAATCCAACCGCTCATTAATATTAATGAGGGGGGAGTGGGCCTCATGTGGAGTGACGTCACGCGGGGGGTGGGCCAAACGTGGAGTGACGTCACGCGCGGGACATTATTGTCTCATAGTAGTAATTACAGCAAACAACGCGATATTAGAGTTGAAAGCACTCTGCGAGATTTGGTTCTTACAAAGTGCGATTCGTATTATGGACACCTGGTTAGTTTAACACTTAGTAGGCTTTCGCGACCAATATTATTCATAATAAACGTTTTTTGGGTTAGATCGCGTTATTTATAAATGTGTCGTAACCCTCCACCACCCGACACGGCTAATCAGCAAAAAATGTGTCACATGTGTCAACGTGACACATTTTTTTGCTTATTATGGACACTTGGTTAACTTTTGGTACGGCTAATTGACGTATTCCGGATCACTTTCCCACACCGCAGTGTCCATCATCCGCCAAGGTCTATCCACTGCTAGATGAACGCCTCCTCCCAATGACATACGTGGGCCACCCCTCATTACCCTGCGATTCTGCCGCACATAAGGCAATGTAATGAGTTCATCCTGTAGGTCTCTCTCGGGTCTGTTCCTTCCTTTGGCTGCCATTCCATCCATCACCTGCAGTCTCGACCACGGGTCATCATTGGTGCCATCCATGCAGTGGACGCGGTGGCTAGGAGATGTTAACTCCCTTGCCTGGTATACAGGAGGTTGTGGGTTCCATCCCGACCCTGACGCCTGCTGCTGTATATTTGGAGTTTGCGTGTCTCTCTCATCATCATCACGGTGGCTAGGAGATGTTAACTACCTCGCCTGGTATACAGGTGGTTGTGGGTTCCATCCCAACACTGACGCCTACTGTATATATTTGGTGTTTGCGTCTCTCTCTATCATCATCGCGGTGGCTAGGAGATGTTAACTCCCTCGCCTGGTGTACAGGAGGTCGTGGTGTGTGCGTCTCTCATCATCATCACGGTGGCTAGGAGATGTTAACTCCCTTGCCTGGTGTACAGGAGGTCGTGGGTTCCATCCCGACCCTGACGTCTGCTGTATATTTGGAGTTTGCGTGTCTCTCCCTCTCTCTCTCGTTCCCCGTGGTCGCGGTGGATTTTTCTCCGGGTCCTCCGATCTTTGTCCCTCCACATTCAGAATCGACGTCCCGCGTTCAGAGCATTTGACCGCTGTAAATTTCCACGCGATGATGATGATGAGCCACTCGGTTGAGCTACAATTTGTGACAAGTCGCTTCTGACAAAAGAGCTACATAGGGGCCGTCCATAAATGACGTCACGCGATTTTTTGCGCTTTTTGAGCCCCCCCCCCCTCGTCACACGGCGTCACAAAAAGTCAGACCCCCACCCCCCTAAAATATGACGTCACAAAGCTCTGCCCCTCCCCCATATTTTCATTTTGAAAATAAAACATGCTTCGAATCTCTTTAAACTATTGTCATTGTAGTGCGTATTTAATGTGGCGCTGCACTCTGATGTTGTAGGAGTGTTGTTATAATATATAGTGTTGTTATAATAATTCTATATTTATTTAAAGTTGCGCATTTTTATTTGACGTCACATTTATTAACCCCCCTCCCGTCACATATCGTCACAAATGTCTGACCCCCCCCCCAGGTGCGTGACGTCATTAATGGACGGCCCCTTTCCTGGTAAATAAAATAGTTTAGTTTGATGTTCTCATGTCCAGCCCAACTTGCCTTCACACCACCCGCCTCCTCTCTTCACTCTCGCAGAACATCTGCAACTGTTACAGATAAGAACACATCTTGTGCGCCACAATGTCATTAATTTATTTACTTTGTGGTTTTTGATATTCGTTGCATCAATATAATTTACTCATTATAGATCTGCAATGTTTGAAAACGCGTTTACCATCCGTGTGTCAATTAAACACCCTCCCAAACAAAGATGTCCTGCCCCCCCACCCCCCCGATCGCATTATCCAAGTGAAGTACAATTAACTTTAAAAATAAACTTTTAACATTGCAAGCGCTCGTGCACGTTGTAAAACTCCGATTACGACACGAGTTAAATTTCACAGTCTGGATAGGCAGCCCCGGGGGTGAGCCCCCCGAGTTGCGCTGCGCCTCGGCACGCGGGCGGAGTCGAGGCGGGGCCTATCCGCGCTGGGAAATCCGAAGCGCGGTCTCCATGGAGACGGGAGCCGCTGTCCCCTGTCGGTCGCCATGGCGTGAAAGCTGAAATTGGACATTGGCGCAGCCCGACATTTGAGCGGCGCGTACACACTAAATTACTTGTCAAGGTACGTAAACAAAATGCACACACCCACACACATACGTGTACTCACACAAACCCCAAAGACAAAGAATCCCCCCGTATAACCCGAACAAAAATATATACATATACTGTTGGTGCAAGTGATGTGAGCGAGCGCCTATCAAGGCCGGCACGGCGCACGAGGGAGTTGGGTGGTCCAGAACCACGCCCGGCCGCCTTTGTATCCCCAGTGGCGACGTTTACACACCGCACCAGGATACTCATTTGAGGCCGAGTCGACCTAGGGGAAGCCCGGGGCCGGTTCCGATAATCGTCACCGGTATTGACCGTGGCCGCGTGATCGAACTCGGGACGCCGGGTTCGTAGCGCAGCGCGCGCCAACCCTGCTACTCCCCTACTTAGACAACAAGAACAACAACAAGAACAACAACACGTACGTTACCAGCGCACAGTCGGCAACGTGCGTCAATTCACTGTGTGTGTGTGCGTGGTGGGGAGCGGAGGTGGTTATTCGACGGTATGACATACTTCACCACGCAGGTCAATTGGGATTTGGTGAAAGTTGGGGATGGGGGGAGTCATAGAACGTGTGAGCATGGAAAGTTACTGTGCAGTACAACAATGGATTTTCTGGCGAATTGCCCGATGATGCTGGATGCAATTACCAGCGAAACGTCGTGCTCAAAAAATTGTAAATGTTGTGGATTCACTCCTTCAACACACCGGTGGGCTAAAGTAGTGAACTATTTGTCTTTTGTCAAACGTGACACTTTTTTGCTGATTGGCCGTGTCGGGTGGTGGAGGGTTACGACACATTTATAAATAACGCGATCCCAAAAACGTTTATTATGAATGAATGTTGGCTGCACTGCCCGCTGCTCTCCAGGACAGCAGCCATCTGACAACCTGTTTCGTGCATTGGTGGGTCATCCATCCGAGCACTATTCCAGGACCAAACCCCTGCTTAGCTTCTGATATCTCACGAGATCGGGCACGTTCCGGCTGAACTGGCCATCATCACAGACTCACCGTATACAAACACAAATCCAGTACCGTATACAGAGTTGTACAGGGTGGTCCAGATGTCTTGTGACCCCTATTTAAAACTTTATATTGTTTGATACCAATGGGTGCGTAAAAAAAATCTTAGGGGTCAATTAATTGGGGGTCACGGTACATCTGGACCACCCTGTTTATATATATAAGTGCTGTTAGCAAGCGCCTATTACCGCCGGATTGGATCAACAACCACATCCGACCGCATTTGTCTCCGCAGTGTTGATGTTTACACAACTCAGTGTTGATGTTTACACAACTCAGTGTTGATGTTTACACAACTCAGCAGTTGCAAGGTTGAGTCGAACTCGGGGGAGAGCCAGGACAGCCTGTGATTCCACGCAAGGCCGTCATTATATTTATTTATTGGGGGGGGGACACGTCCCCAATAAATTGGGGGGGGACACGTCCCCTTCTTTGTGGGACCACACGTCACTGGAAAGGACACGCCCCCCCCCAATAATCAAATATGCTCAAAATGTCCCCCCCCCAATATATTGCTATAAAATAGATTTCTGTTTATATGATTCTGGTTATGGTTGTACTTTATTAATCCCTAACATCTGCCATTACATACAATGAAACAAGAAAAGGTAAAAAAGAAACAAAACACAGCGATGTAATACAATACACTATTAGACATTATTGTAAAGTATTAATAAAAAGTCCATCCTATGTGTTAGTGATTTTTTAAATATTTTAGGCAGGAAATGGCAGGAAATTCGTTTTCAAATGTAGATTTTTTTTTCTGGGGGGGGACCCCCACACACCCTGGAAGATTTGGTCCCCCTAAATGTTGACTCCATGGCTACGGCCTTGATACCACGTGCTACTGATGTAAGCCGTGGCCTGAAATCGGACGCGGGTTTCAGTCACCCATGATGATTAAACCGGGCTCTCACGTGCGGTGAGATGATGGTCTCAACCCAGTCCCCAATGACTGGAAAAAAGGCATCACGTCAATTGGCTCTGTATTAATTTGTCTTAAATGTAGCTCTGATCATTTAAAAAAAATCCCGTCACCTGATTAACACTACTATCATGTGTGGGAAAATGCTGCCCCCTTCTTTGTGGGACCGCACGTCACTGGAAAGGATCTCGGAGATAGCTCTGTACATATCCATTTCCACGGGCCATTCCGTAGCATGATGAGATGCACTCTGTATGTATGTTGAACTGCTTTCGCACCGTATT